AAACCACCTTTTCCTTTGTTGACAGAAATATTTCTCTGTAATACAATTCTGCAGTCTTCTTCTACGTCGTGAGTGTTGCTCATTCAGTAACGGGGAGTACGTCAAAGCAGGGTTGGCTGAATTAGAGCAATGGTGTGTTGAGGCTACTGATGAAGTAAGCCACGATTTCGTCACGCTTTGCCTCTTAAAATTGCTTCCACATTTTCACGCCTTTTGATTAAATTGTTTCATTTTATTAAAGTATGCAGGCTCAGCTTGGGATGAGTTGAGGCATATTAGGCAGGCAGTTGGTTTCCTGGTATAATTCTCAGCCGATGCTATGCCACTCCTTTTATGCTTCCATTCCATTGTTTGCTTAAGTGAACTTTGCTTGTTTTGGCTCTTTGTTCAGGTCATTCATCAAAAGCCGAAAAAGACCTTAGACGAAATAACAAGAGAACTCTGTCCGGTAACTCTCTTCAACTTGGTGAAATCCGTCCCTTAAATCATTACTCTTTTCCCCGTGAGTTGAATATTGAAGTTACTTTTCTGGTTCAGGTGCTAAGTATACAACAGCTATACAGAATCAGCACAATGTACTGGGATGACAAATATGGCACTCATAGTGTTTCTTCGGATGTATGTTTCACTTGTAAATACCTAAGCTTTCTTTTGCCTAAATATGGTACTAATTGTGTTCGTTCCAAAACCGTAGGTTATTGCAAACATGAGGGTTATGATGACAGAAGACTCGAACAATGCCGTTAGCAGCTCTTTCCTTTTGGATGATGACTCGAGGTAACCTGAAAATAATTTGTAGTCAAATATCTTTGTACTCTTCTCAATTCTTGACTAACCCGATGAATCAATCAAAACACAGCATTCCATTCACGGTGGAAGATATATCCAAGTCAATGCAACAAGTGGATGTAAATGACATTGAACCTCCTCAACTTATCCGTGAAAACTCGGGTTTCGGATTCTTACTCACACGTAAAGAAGGCACCGCATCGTAACTTTCCTCAGGGAGCTCGGTATGGTCCACCAAATACGAATGTCTCTGCTGCATATACATAAATATATCGTGTGAGCCACTGCATTCCTATGGGCATTTTGTGTATATTATTTTCCTTTTTCGGTTTCCATTCTTTCTTCGCCTTGTTTTGGGTTTCAATCTCTGGCCTTTGTATTTGTGGAGAGGCCGAGGTTTATTTCATTCTTTGCATCCCTGTAGTTATGGCAACTCGCAGGGGTTATTTGTTTGCCTTTTGGTTTTGTCATAGAAAGGCTTAGGTGTGTTTGATACTGTCCTCCCCAGAGAGGGGAGGAGAGTATTTTGTTCTGGTCAATTATATTTGTTGGTTTGGGTGTGTTTTTTTGTAATCGTTTTGGGAAATTTGTAATGAAGAAATTATAGTTTCTTTTCACTATTTATAAAAGATCTAAAATGTTCTTTACTAATATATTAAGTAGATTATTATTCTTGCAATACAGTAGTCTCTCCCAAATATTGTTCTGTTTGGATGAAGCAGCAGCAACAGCAGACACATTTACTGTATCCCCATAAGTAGTTGAGAAGGTGATTGTGATTGTCACCATTTTCGTCTAGATTGTATGCATGGACGCGTTTAACATCCATTCCTGAGGAGAACTTTGTGGAGCATCCGGAGGGGTTAGCTCTGTAATACTCGTCTTGGTACCGAAACATTTAGATCTGATTGATATTAATTCGCGTAGTGCTTCAGCCATTCTCATCCTATCCCTTGGATATTCTTCAGAACACCTTATTCCCACCTGCAAAACCATTCTCAAACACTCATCACTGGCGTTGCTGCTTCCACCCTCCTCATCTCCCGACAAAAAAGACTTTGTGTAACTGTGGAGATTATAATCGCCTGCAAATGATTCTTCTGTTGGTTTTTTTCCAGTGAACATCTCCAAGAGTAGAACTCCAAAGCTATACACATCTCCTTGAATTGATGGTTGGCCTCCCATTCCATATTCTGTACATATTTCAAAGCAACAGCAGGCAATGAGATTGGATAAATCACAGTTAAACAATATTGTCTGCATATACAGTAGATGTTCATTTACCTGGTGCGGCAAAGCCAATGGTGCCTCTGACCCCGGCAGAACTAAACTTATTTAGAAAAGATTCTTGATCAAATTTATAGAGGAGCCGAGCCAAACCAAAGTCACTAACATGAGCAGTCAGATCATCGTCTAGAAGAACGTTGCTTGGCTTGAGATCACAGTGAGCTACAGGGTCATGACAGTGAACATGCAGATACTCCAAAGCGGAAGCCACATCTATTGCTATGTTGAGTTTCTCTGGAAGTGTTAAAATTCTTGAGTGATCATTTGCCCTTCCCAGTTCTTCTGGATGTAGCCACATATCCAGACTTCCTTTTGGCATGAACTCATAAACCAGAGCTCTGAATTCATTTCCTTCAGAATCGAGGCTTGAACAAACCGTTATCAGTTTCACAAGGTTACGATGCCTTATACCCTTGAAAGTTTCACATTCCGCCATAAAGCTTTTGGTTGCTCCGTGCTTCAGGAGGTTCAGAACTTTAACAGCAACGAGTTTACCATCACCACCAAGCAATCCTTTAAACACATTACCGAAGTTGCCTGAACCAATCAGATTACTTGAAGAGAAGCCACTTGTTGCATTATAAAGCTCTTCATAACTTATTTTCTCATAGAACAGCCCCAAAGTAGTAGAATCAGATGGGTTACTGCCACTTGCGCTGTTCTTCTTTCTTCTCTTCTTAAACCAACACAGAGAAGCCACAATTATGAATAACAAAATTGAAGCTACACCTATACCAATACCACTGGCAATTTTCTTTCTAAGTGACAGAGGCTTTCTCGGCCTTGGTGAGGCGGGCACAATGCATGGCTTTAGTTGCATTTCTCCAATGCCTCCGCATAGATTTTTGTTTCCAAAAACAGAAACTGCTGTAGCATTTCGAAACACTCCTGTTGTTGGCACCCTTCCCTCAAAGTTATTCATAGAGAGATTCAGCTTTTGCAGCAAAGGAAAATTGGCCAGATATCGAGGTATGTGGCCAGAGAGATTGTTGTCAGAGAAGTCAACAGTTTGCAGGCTTACCAACCGTCTTATATCTGGAATGGCTCCGTCAAACAAATTTTCTTGCATAAAGAGAAATTCCATCGAGAGACAACGCCCTATAGTTTGTGGGATGTGCCCTGACAATTTGTTGTCTCCAACACCTAGTCCAACAAGAAGTTCTAACTTTCCAACATCTTCCGGAAAAGGGCCGGTCAAGAAATTGCTTGACAAATCTATGTAAGCAAGGGATGGAATTTGCACTATTTCCCGGGGTATAGTCCCATTCAACCTATTTGAATCAATCCATAGGTCTAGCAAGTATTGACAACGTCCAAGACTCTGAGGGATTCTTCCATGGAAACTATTGTTGTTCAAATGGATCTTTTGCAACTGAGTCATGTTGCCAAAATAAGATGGTAATTCCCCCGATATTGCGTTTGAATACAGATCCAGCACCCGCATTTCCAAAAGCTTCCCCAAAGAGACTGGAAGTTCTCCTGTCAACAGATTTGCTTCTAAACTGAGTTCTTGCAGGCTTATAAGATTCCCGATGTCACGCGGAATGGTTCCAGATATGAGATTTCCTCCAAGGGTCAGACTAGTTAATTTGGTGGACAGATTGGCAATGGAGGCAGGCAGCTCACCTCCAAGACTATTGTAGCCAACATCTAAGTGCTCTAATTGAGTGCAGTTAGCCAAAGCACCAATAAATTCAAGATCACTGGAGGAGTTGTTTCCCAGANAGTTACTATGAATCCCTAACCACCACAGATTAGATAATTGTCCAAAACTCAAAGGGATATTTCCTGTCAGGTGATTAGATGAGATATCAAACCTTCCAAGGGTTGAGATATTGGAAATTGTTAGGGGAATAGGACCGGTGAATTGATTTGTTCCCAAAACAAGTGTTTTTAGATTTGGTAGAAGGTCTCCAAAATCATCCCTAAGGTTACCCGAAAACCTATTGCCAGCTAGGGATAAAAACTCAAGTGAGGACATGTTGTATAAAGCAGGAGGAAAAACGCCTGAAAAACTATTCAGTGATATTTGGAAAAACACCATTTGAGTCAATCTAGCTACATCATCTGGAATCTCTCCTTCCATATGGTTATATGCAAAGTCAAGTTCATGGAGTGATGTCAGGTTTCCTAAAGATGCAGGAAACTGTCCTGTAAGGTTGTTTTCAAGAAGATACACAATGACAAGCTTAGAAAGTGAACCTAGCTCTGAAGGAACATCATGTCCGAGATGGTTTGACGATAAATCAAGTATCAACAGGCTAGAGCAGTTCGATAGACTAGGCGGAATCCTTCCTTCAAGAAGATTGGAGCTCATGTTCAAGTACTTAAGTCTAAATAGCTTTCCCACTTCTTGAGGGATGGTACTACCAAAAGAGTTGTTTGCAAGATTAAGTACTCTGAGAAACGAGAGATTACCAATGGAAGGTGAGATCACACCGGCCAATTCGAATCCTTCAAGGTCCAAACTTCTAACTCGTTCTTGTTTGCGGCCACATGTAACCCCAATCCAACTGCAGAGTGGAGAGGAGCTGTTCCAAGAGGCCAAGACCTCTCTCTTGTTTTCAGCAACTTGAGACTTGAAGTCAAGCAAAGCTTTCATGTCAGTCTCATTTGAAAACCTGGCTTGAGCAAAGACCACGGTGAGAATTCCAAGCAACACGAGAACATTAAAAGCAAGTGAAAGAGAAAGCTTCATGTCGACTTATACACAAAGGAAAACAACGGTTCTGCTCCCAACTTAAAACCCAATAAAAAAAATGAAAGGAAGTTTTAAGGTAAGAAAGAAGCAAATGCAAAATGCAATTCCTTTCCAGTTCTACTGCAACTTAAATGCGGTCCAAAACTCACTGAAAAACTGGTCACAAGAAACCAAAATGCGTGGACTTTTTTTCTTTTGGTAAAGAGTCCAATCGATATCATTATTTTTTTCAATAGTCAAAGATATTAACGTGTGTACTGCAAAGAGAGTAAAGGCAAAGTATTTCCACAAAAACACAAACACTGGCCGACACACACAATCTCCTCCTCTTGTCATTTCTATCAAAATTTCTACAGAGACTTGTATTGACAATCATCCTTCAAAAGTTTTGTTTTTAGGTTAATTTCAAAATTCAAATACATTGAACCGCAACTCTCACTTCAAAAATACATTACATCAAATGGAAATTGTAGGGAAAATATCCCAAAAACACAATCTTTACTTGTTTGTAAATGGAAACAAAAGAGAATTTTGCTTACGGTTTTGAGTTTCCTGGATCGGCGTGTTCTTACAGAGACGGCCTTAATCAACTGCTGTGTCATAAACCTCCGCAAATTTGGGGAAACCCATTGATTTCTGAAAAACAAGATCAGATTGGATCATTCGACGAATTGCCTGCGCCATGGTTGAGAAGATGGTCGAGAAATCTGATGAGCGAATAAGTACTGAGTGTGACGGAAAACAAATCACATTTTTGTTATTGAATGAAAACGGCAAGTAGTTCTTCACTCATAGTAAACACACACAAAAAAACGACAAGTAGTTTTTGAACAAATAGAAATTTATAGAACCAATAGGAAAATTTAAAGAAACTAAAAGCAAAATTTTAGAAAGAAATAAGGTGTAATAAGATAGTACAATGTTTCTCTTAATATTTAGTATAACTATAATTTGTATTTTTTTAACATAAATGTAATTATATAATTTTATAAAACTTTTCATTTCATTACAAGTGTTGAAAATATATATCTTTTTTTTTNTTTATTTGCAAATTTTTAGTTTAATTTGTCTTTTGTATAAATTTACATGTATACTCCCTCCGTTCCATTATATAAGATGTTTTGGCTGAATGCGTGGGAATTAAGAAGAAATTTTTTTTAACAAAACAACATTTATATTAATTAGTTAAAAATATAATTCAACCAATCACATAAAACACTACATAGTTCAAAAGGTCAAAATCATCAAATAGCATTTAAATCTGCATAGAAACTAGTAAAACATTTTATATATTCGAACAAATAAAAAGACTTAAAACATCTTATATTTTGGGACAGATGGAGTATAATATAGAAGCCACCCTCTTATATCATTCACACAATAGCTTCGGCCATTGAAGTTGATCTTTTTTGCTTCGCTTATTGAAGACATGGTTCGCTTTTATTTTCTTATTTTTGTTGGATTTATAAAGTTTTACTGCAAAAATTTCACTAAACTTCATGAAATGAATCAGGTTAATTTTTTACCTTTTGCAATGGAAATTTGATCAGGCTGCAAGAGACACAGGAGAACTTAGACAACTGAAGGATTCAAGGAAAACTATTGAAGAAGCAACTCAAGTCATTGTAATGGTTAAAGATGATGCTGAAAATGCATCAGAGGTGGAGGCTCTAAAGGTATATATACATATTCACTAGAAATCTCACATCGGAAGCATTGACATATGTTATAATCTTGGTGTATTTTGCTTTTCTCTTCTAAGATATGTTATAATCTTGGTGTCATTTAGAAAAACCAGGAACTACTAGTCAAGTGCATCTCACAAAACCTTGGATATGTTGAGGGCAAGCCTGTTGCTGCATGTCTCATTTACAAATGTCTCATTCATTGGAGATCATTCGAAATCGAAGAAACCAAAATCTTTGACCTTATTGTTCAAGCCATAGCTTCGGCCATTGAAGTATGCTGATTCTTTCTTGCTTCATTGTTCAGAAAGCATTTGTGAACTATTTCAACATTGATAATTAAGTTTCTGAATAGCATCAATATGGACAATGTTGTCTTCCATTAGACATGTACCATATAATAATGAGGTTTTCGCGTATTGGTTATCTAATTTAGCCATGTCACTTTGCCTAATGCAACACACATTCACAAGTGCTACAATACCAGCTTCCCAAGTAAGAAGCTTGCAAATTTACAAATGGATTGACTCATGTCCCTAGTATGTTTCATCTCACTTTTGATGCGGGATTCTTAACACGTCTCAATTGTTTTCTTGTGTGTCTCCTTTTACAATCCAAATAGGGATGCATGAGAGGTGCTCTAGTCTCTTCTTTGGATAGACAAGAAAGGAAAGTTGTACCAAAACACCGTGCGGTTCTTTTCATGCAGCAACTTATTGGATTTCTCGAGAAGATATATGGAATGATCAGAGATAATCTAAAGAGAGAGATATCTCCTCTCTTGGTGTTATGCATACAGGTAATTTCTTTGTTGCTTATTGTGTTTTATGGACTTCTTGATCCGCCGATACATTTTAAGGTTTAATTTCATTAATCTATCAAATTAGTGTATAAGACATGTTTACATGATACAGGAAGCACGAACAAAAAGAAACGCTGTTCCTCAACAACCTTTGACTGATCATTGGCAAATTATTGTGGAAAGGCTAAGCAGTTACCTAAATCTTATGAAAGCAAACAATGTAAGTCTGAGTATATCCATTAGAATATATAACAAAAGTCGAATTGAGATAATCTATTGAAGTTACTATATCTGTGTTTACCATAAGTCAGGTTCCACCCTTTTTAGTAAGCTATGTATTCACACAAGTATTCTCCTTCATCAATGTTCAGCTTTTCAACAGGCATGTTTCACTTGTAATCTTATCCTTTTTATTTTATTTTCTTGCAAGCAGTGTTTTGAAA